GGGCAGAGGGCGGACGGCCGTCGGCCGAGGCGCGCCCGGCCCGAGGGAGAGGGAGCAGGAAGACCCGAGGAGCGGGTCGGGGGGAGCCAGGCCGAGCGGGTCGCGCAGACCACCCTGAGCCGATACGGCTTGAGCCAAAATGGCTACGGAGAAGGAGCACAAAGAGGAGGAGGAGGAGGAAATGAGGAGGAAAAGGAGGAGGGGGAGTTGTTTTCCAGAGCTCCCCATGTAACTTGGCATGAACGACAGTGCAACACAAGTAGCAGAAGGCGGGGCTGGCAACAGGATCAAGCACCTTTGGGGAAGCGCACTTAGCAGAACTGAACCTCACTGAGCAGAAGCACGACTTATATTATTCCCAATAGTCAGACAAGAACTGGTACGTCGCATTCTTCCTGGTGAGGTCAACGTTTGGCCTTCCACCTCGTTCAGGGAACAGCGGCCCTCAAGTCTGTGCAATCCACCAGGATCCTCGCAGACTTTACAATTTCACAATATGAATACTACTCTCCTCTCCCCCGATGACTCCGGACTCCGAAGATATCCGGCCCCCATCCGCGCACTGCTTTTTACACCGTATTCCAGGGACATGGGTTGTCGCTTGTTTTTTCAAATTGTTGTTCCCGCTAGAAGCTCGGGCCCCATTTCTGCGCCTCTGGTTGTTCCAAATCGTGCTCCCGCTGGAAGGACCGAACATTTAGAAAATGCCACCCTGAAAAAACCATCGAGAGTGATTCCACATTCGGTGTTGATTCGTTACTGTTTTGGGCCGCAGAAGCACCCCCCCCCACTTTGGAGCGTCGTCGCTTTCATGAAGTATCAAGCGGGAGCCCTGCTTCTGCTTTGATTAGGCGATGTTGGAAACGGAGTCAGCGGGTGCTCTCCATCAGCCCCGCCTTGTGTGGAGCTCCCTGGGGAACGGGAGCCCAAGGAGCTAGACATGGAGCCACGACTCCAGACCGGCCCAAACCTCTCGAAGACGATCCACTTACCCCCCCAAGGAACCCGGCGCCATGCCATGACATGCTGTGCGGTGTTGGGTTCTGCGCCGCTAGGCGCTGCCATGCTTTGCGTTGCAATGCCTTGTGATGCAATGCTTCACTGCGCAATGCCACGCCATGCTATGTCATGCTACGCTCTGCCCTTTTCTTCTACGCCATGCCATGCTGTGCTCTAACATGCATCGCGTACCCTCTCGCGATCATTGCCCTTCTCGACATCCGACTGTGCGAATAGAGAGGCTTTCTACGCCATGGTAAGGGATGGGCGGGAGGGGTAGGACGTCAGATATGACGCGAGCGCACCTGGCTTGCCCGTACCCCCTCCCCCCTCCCCGCCCTGTCGCCCTCCCTTGCGCCATCCCCTCTCGTGATGTCCTCCCCTCCGCTCTCCCCTCCGCCCCCCTGTCCTCCCCCCTCCCGCCGTCCCACCCTCCCCTCCGCCCTCCTCTCCGCCCTCCCGCCCTCCCCCTCCTGCCCTTCCCCTTGCACCATCCTCCCGCCCTCCCCCGCTAACTTTCTCCCGCCCTCCCCCTCCCGCCCTCCCCCTCTCGCCCTCCTCCCACCCCCTCCCTGGCGCCGCGGGCGTCTGCAGGTGGTCTTCCCTCGCTGGCGAGGCGCACATAAAGCCTCGTGCCGCGGAGCGCCGCTTTCCGTCCCCTCCTCGCCTCCGTCCCCGTTCTCGCTTCCGCCCACATCCTCGATTGCGTGTTTCCTCCTCGCCTCGCCTCCTCTTCTTCTCCTCCTCTCCGCCAACTCGCCTTCACGCCTCCATCTCCCCTTTACTCCTCCACCTCCCCCTTTCACATCTCCCTCCTCCTCCTCCTCCTCCTGCGCCTCCTCCCCATCAGTAGCAACGTCGACATCAAAACCACAACCATCGCCATCGTCATCGGCACTGCCGTTCATCGTCATCATCAGCTTCATCATCATCAACGGCATCACCATCATCATCGTCATCATCAGAACCACCGTCACCACCATCACCATCACCATCAACATCACCATCACCATCATCATCATCATCATCATCACCATCATCGTCAGCAGCATCATCGTGATCATGATCATGATCATCAGCATTAGCATCAGCACCAGCAGCAGCACCATCACCATCATCATCGTCAGTGTCATCATCATCGTCAGCAGCATCCCAACCACAACCATTCCCACCACCACAAACCATACAACAACAACAACAACAACATCATCATCATCATCATCATCATCGTCATCATCGTCAGCATCATCAGCAACATCACGAAATCTGAACCATCGCCACTATCAGCTTCACCAGCAACAACAACGTAATTGCCGGCATCGCCTGCAGCATCAGCATCATCACCATCACCATCATAAGCAGCATCATCAACATCATCATCACCATCATAATCGTCATCATCATCATCATCATCATCATCATCATCATCATCATCATCATCATCATCAGCATCAGCATCGTCATCATCATCATTATCGTCGTCACTGTCGACGTTACCAGCATGAACATCTGCATCAGCATCATCATCAGTTTCTGGGGCGACGACGGCGCCTCCTCCGAGTGCCCCCTGGTCTGCGGCGGATGTTCCACTTGGTGCCGCCGCCAGGGGCAGGGGGCAGGTTCCCCTTCCCCTGAAACCCCAGCGGCGACCACAACCGCAGCGGCGGCGGTGACGGCGACGCAGCGTCGGCCGTGGCGACGACGACGCCCACAACTGCAGCGACGGCGGTGGCGTCGACGACGCTGGTGACGATGCCGACGGCAGCATCGGCAGCGACGACGACGGCGACGACGGCAGCAGCGGCGGCGGCGCCCATGACGACGATGACGGGGGTGTGAAGTACTAGGTGGAGGTGCAGGGGGATCACGAGGATCAGGAAGCGGAAGAGGGAGGAGGGAGGAGAAAGGATGGCTGACAGAGAAGAGAAAACGAAGGGAGGGAGGAAGAGAGGGAGGAGGCCAGGGCTGGTTGAAGATGAAGGGAGGAGGGAGGCGGCGCCAGACGATGGCAGTGTCGTGGTTCTGCCCGGGTGCACAATTCGCTGCGTTGCATTGCGCAGGAGGCGATGAGGGGAGCATGGACGGGCCGCCGGCTCAGTCACCGCCTCCCGCCGTTCGGCCCGGGGAGGGGAGAGGCGAGGAGCCAGGGGAGGGGAGGGGAGGGGAGGGGCGAGGCACGAGCCTTTGGAGGTCCTCGCGGATGTCTTGGCTCGGCGCCGGGCCCCCCGCCCTGGCGCGCTCCACGCGCCAGGGGCCCGGGGGGCGGCGCCGGAGCTGCCGCCCGGGGCCCTCCGAGAGTCTCTGTCTGTACAGTCGGGCCGCGGAAGAAGGAACCCTTTCGTGTGGAGGGGGCGTCGGTGTTCCTTCAGTGTTGTGCAGTTTGTCTTAGGTGCTCCTTGGTTTTCGATGGGCGACCGAAGAGTCACGTGTGGGAAACAGAGGCCTCGTTCCTCATTTCGGGTTCCTTATGATTGCGTTTCGACCGTACAGGTTTTGTCCCTGGGGGCCCTCCGAGAGTTTCTGTCTGTGCCTTGGTATCGCGCGGACGTGTGCATTTTTCTCGGCGGGGATTCTTCAGGAGCATCCTGGATCATCGAGCAAAAACAAAAATACGCACGAAACCGCACACAGCAGAAGGAATGGACGTCCGAGCAATGGCCAGGTGCAGGTTTGGTCCCTGGGGGGGTGGGGGGGGGCGGCTCGTCGGCACGTGGCGTGCTCCAGAGGAGGGGGCCTCGCCCTCGGCGACGTGCTCGCCCTCGGCGGGAGCCGGCGGAGGCAGAGGGCAGCGGCGGCCCCGCGGGCGGACGCTCGCGGAGGCTCGGTGGGCCGCCCCTGCAGGTGCCCACGCCTGCAGAGGCGGGGGGTGCGCGGGAGCGGGATTTGGGCACAGCTGGCCTGTCGCTCGGGCTGAACGAAAGGGGGGGATTGGGAAAGGGGGGGCTTCGTGAGCTGATTCTCACCCCCCCCCTTTGCTATCCCCCCAAACCCCGGGGTGCGCGGGAGCGGGATTTGGGTTGTGGATCGCGATTGATGGAGGGGAAGCAGGCTGCCAAATAATTCCCACATGTCTAAAACGTGTCTCAAACTTGTTTTTTAAGTATGTAAAAACAGGTTTGGAACATTTTTAGAACATGCTTTTCACATTTTAATCACATCATTAGTTCAATGATAGGATTGTTAGAGTGTCCATTGTCACGGCATCCACAAGATTTGGGCACAGCTGCCCTGTCACCCCGTGCCCGCCCTCCCTGTCGGGCACCGAGCGACTTCGGGTCGCGCCGCGCAAGCTTGAGCAGTTGTTCAGACGCCCCCGCGAAGCTTCCTAGGCAAGGGGACCAGCGATCAAAAGAAAGGAAGCTCGGTGAACGACGGGGTGCCGGGGGGGGGAAGGGTGAGGACAGTCTCCGGCCTCTGCAGGTTAACTTGCCCTCTCGACCAGGCGTGCCAGGTCCACTGTATCGTCTCTTCGCTGCATTTGCGCACGCTCGTGGCCGCCATTCGTCCCTTCAGCTCTCCTCCTCCTCCTCCTTCTTGTCCAATATGTTGCGCGTAAAAGCGTGAAATGTCAACATGTTTGGATTCCAGCTTTTTGGATTCGGCGACGTTGGGGAGGGGGTCGTCCGCACGTAGGAGTGCCATAGGCCAAGAAGGCCCACCCTTGTGGAGTATGGTTAGACAACGGCGGTATAAGAGTCAAGGAGTCGCAGAATCTGAAGGCCAGGAACATGTATGTATGTATGTATGTATGTATGTAGGTAGGTAGGTAGGTAGGTAGGTAGGTAGGTAGGTAGGTAGGTAGGTATGTATGTATGTATGTATGTATGTATGTATGTATGTACTTATGTGTGTGCATATATATACATATATATATATAAACGCTTGCGGTAGATAAGTCGGGGGTGGGAGATCAGGGGTGCGGAGTTAGGCATGGCCGTGAAGAGATTGCATGGCAGTCGCTGTTGTGGCTCAGTCTCTTGAGGCTTCTGGCCCTGCGGGGCATGTTTGATCCTGGCTCCGGGCCGCCACCGCCAGCCTGGGAGCCGATCCAGGAGGCGGTCCCCTCACCTCCCGGGCCTCTGCCCGGCTGGCCCCCGCGACCGCCTGGGCGATGCTGCGGGCGGGTGGTGCTCGGGCCGGCTCGGCCCCAACGAAACCCTGGCGCTGGCCCTGAACGGCCAGCTCTGGGAGGTGTGCGAGCTGTGCTACCTCCTGGCGCTGGCGCGGCAGCACGCCTGGCGGGCCCGGCTGACGCCGGGCGAGCGAGCGTTGCTGCTGGTGCACGCGCGCCACTTGACGGCGCTCCTGGCGGCGCTGGCAGGGCTGGCGGACGAGGTCGTCCAGGATGCCGCCCAAAGCTAAGGCCAAGGCGAAGGTCAAGGCCAAGGCGGCAGCTCAGGGCCTCGGCGTTGCGCGCGGCGGGGGACGCGCCCGCGGGCGCGGTCGCGGCGGAGGCCGAGGCGCAGCGGCGGCGGGCCGCGGGCGTGGCCACGCCCAAAGGGGGCGCGGGAGCCGCGGCAGGTGGCCCCGGCGCGGGAGCTGCTGCGCTACCCCCCCTCGGCGCTGCCGCTCCCCCTGGCGGCGGAGGCGCTGCGCTGCTGCCTGGGGCCCCCCCGCTGGGGATTGCGGCTGGAGCGCTGCCGGGCCCGCCTGCCGCCGCGCCGGGAGGCGATGCGCCTGGGGCGCCACCCGGCGCCGCGGCTGGGGCCAGCGCGGCCCTTGTGGGGGCCCTGGCGGCGCTGCCTGCTCCAGGAGGGGGGCCGCCGCCTGGCGCGCCGCCGGCGCCTGGGCCCCTCGCGCTGCCAGGGGCGAGTGCTGCCGGCGATGGAGGTGGCGGCGTGGCGGCCGCTGCAGGGCCGGCGCCCGCCGGCGGTGGCGCCCGTGGCGCTGGCGCGGCTGGTGGACGGCCCCTGGATTGGCTCGCCGGCCCTGCGGCTCGACGCCTTCACGGCCGGCACGGTGCTGGAGACGCCCACGCACGACCCGACGGGCCAGGTGGACGGCACGGCGCTCGATCGAGGTCGTGGAGGCGGGCGCGCCGGGCCCTGACGGGGTCTACCTCTCCGTGAGCTTCCGGGGCGCCTCGCTGCCGGCCCACGCCCTGGAGCTGGACCTGAGCTTCCCCGCCCCCGGCGCCGGGCAGCCAGGGGTCCTGCACCTTTGTGCGGGCGGCGCCGCGGCCTGCAGGGCCCCGCGGCTGGTCGGGCGCGGCGAACGGCACGCCGACTGGCTGCGCCTGCGGTCGGCTCGGAGCTTGGTCGAGCCGTGGGTTCGGCTGACCTTCCGACCGCCAGGCGGCGGTGGGCCAGGGGATGGCGCCGCCCCTGCGCCCGCGAGGGGCCGCCTCGCGGGGGCTGCGGCTGGGTTCGCGGCGGCTGCGGCTGCTGCGGAGGCGGCCGGCCCTGCGGCTCGCCCGCTGGTGGCTCGCCGACGCCGTCACGAGCAGTCGCGAAGCGATGGCGAGGAGCGGGCCGGCGACGACCAGCTGGATTCTCGTGTCGCCCCCTCCCGCGGCAACGCCATTCTGGCGGTGGCCGACGGGCGCCCAGGCACGTTGCACGACGAAGCGATTGCCCAGATCGCGCGTGTCATGGGCCTGCGGGAGGGGGCGGACGGACAGGGGGCGCGCCCTCGCATCAGGGGCTACCTCCAGGCCTTGGTCTTCGGCCACCACCCGTTCCACTCGGTCGGGGAGCGGGCGGTGCGCGAGCTCCAGACGCTGGCCGCAGCGATGGACCTGCTCGAGGATGGCTCGCTGGCGTCGGTCGTGGACGCGCTGATGCAGCGGTTCAGGGCGCTGGAGATGGCGCTGAACGACGGCAGCGCCAACGAGCTGGAGGTGGTCGAGGGCATCCGCCCGACGCCCCCCTCTCGCGACGAGCAGGAGTCGGCGCGGAGGTCAGCGATGCTGCGGCGGCGGCTGGAGGAGGTCCTTGCCGGGGGCAGCCCCCGGCCGCTGACCCGAGGAGACGGCGGCTGCAGAGCCGCCTCGAGGGCCTTGTCCAGGGCGGAGCCGTGGGCGCGGGAGCGACCCCGCTCGCCGCGGTCGGGCTTCCTTCGCGACGAGGCGTGGCGGAGCCCGCCCTGGCGAGGCCGCGGCGGCCGCGGGCCAGGCTGCCAACGGGCCGGAGGGTCCCGCAGCCGCTCGCGAGGCCTCGATCGAGGTCCCCCGCCCGAGCGCCCTCCGACGCCGGGGGGCGGCCCCCCTCGCCGCCCCCCCCCCCGAGAACGCACCGCAGGGGCAGCCCCCGCTCTGGTGCTGCGGCGGCGCTGGGCCGCGTGGAGCTGCCGAGCCCGAAGGGCGCGGGCAAGCGCCGCGGGCGTCGGGCGCCGAGAGGGGGACTTCCTGGCCGCGGTCGGCCGGCGCCCTGGAAGGGCTGCGGCAAGGGCCGCTAGCACTGGAGGCTCGGGCGCGCTCAGCTGATGATGCACGTGAGGATGCGAACCCTCTGGGCCCAGCGGGAGCTCGCGCTGGCTGCATGGGCGAGCCAGAGCCGCCAGCTGATTCGCTAGCAGCAGGCCGGGAGGCGGCGCGCGCGGGGGCAGCTTGGCCAGAGGCGGGCGCCCCCCTGGCGGTGCTTTTCCGCACGTGGCAGGAGAAGGCTAGGGCTGCTGCCGAGTCCTTCCGCCCCCCGCTGGATGCGGGCCCGATCCTCGAGGAGCTGATGCGAGGGTTTCCAGGGTCGCTTGGGGTCTACGTGGACAAGTTCATGCACAGCGGGCATCGGCCAACTAGACGGGGGCGGCTGCAGCGTGATCTGCAACCGCTACCCTGTCCCGATCTTGAAGCTTCGGGCTTCACCGTGGAGGAGAAGATTGGCCCAGGCGACCTGGCCTTGCTGCAGTCTCGCTCGAGGGTAATCGTGATGGCTATGTATTGGGAGGCCGGCTACCGCCACCTGAAGTGGGGCGACGTCTGCGGGCCGGAGCCGAATGCGGCCCAGCGCTCGGCTCTCCTCGGGATCGCGCGGCGCATCTACTCGAGCGTCGCGTTCGAGCCCGCCGTGGCCGGGACCCTCGGCTGGTCCGAGAAGCTGAAGGACCGGGCCATCGCGTACGACGGCTCGGAGGTCTCCACGCCGAGCAAGATCACGCTCGAACACATCGAGGGCGGCCTGCCGCCTGTGGGGGTAGCCGCCTCCATCGAGGCCGCGGATCTCGCCGCGGGCTCCGTGCGGGCGGCGCTGCTGGACCCCTCCCTGGTCCTCCTGCCGCCGGCGCAGAGGCGCCCCGCGCCGACCTCGGCGCGCGTCCGGGCGACGGCGCAGGAGTGGGAGCAGGTGGTGAGTGCCCTGTTTGCTCGCGGGATGGTCGGCCCGATCGACGAGGGCGAGATCGCGACCAGAGACGGGGTCCCCTTGATCAACGAGGCCTTCGGCGTGGCGAAGGTGCACGACGCGCCGGTCCGCTGCGGCGACGGCGAGGAGCGGCCCGTCCTGCGGCTCATCGTCAACCTGATCCCCGCGAACGCGCGCCAGCACGTCGTCGCGGGGGACACCCCCGCCATGCCGACGATGGGGCAGCTGAACGGGCTGGTGCTGGCTCCAGGGGAGCAGCTACTCTGGAGCGGGGCGGGCCGCAAGGCGTTCTTCTGCGTCTTCAGGGCGCCCCCCGCCTGGTGGCCCAACATGGCGCTGGGGCCGCCGGCGCCGCGGCGGCTGGCGGGCGGCAGCGGCGACGGGCTGACCCGCATCGCACTGAGAGTCGTCGGCGTGGGCGGGATCAGCGCGGTCGGGGTGACGACGCACCTCCACCGCAACATGCCGAGGCGGTCGGCCTCAGCCCCCCGCGGGCTGCCGCCTGCGGCCGAGGTGGTGCGCGCCCGCCGCCTGCCCGCGGAGGCCCAGGCAGGCGGCGTCGCGATGTGGTTCATCTACGTCGACAACCTCGAGATCGCGGAGATCGCGTCGAGTGAGGAGGCCGTCGAGCTGAAGGGGACCATCCCCGAGCTGCTGAGCCGGGCGTCGGCCGGCTACGAGGAGGCTGAGTCCCCCGGATCGCCGGGCAAGGATGTCCACCGCGCCCAGCGGGTTTCTAGTTTGGGGGACCTCGTGGATGGCGAGGCTGGTGTGCGGCGGCCGCCGCTGGGCTACGTCGCGGAGCTCGCGAGCCTGACGCTGTGGTTCCTGGCGAAGAGGCGCCCGAGCAGGCGGCTGGCGCAGATCCTGCTGGGGCGCTGGGTTCGCGTGCAGTGCTATCGGAGACCGCTCGCCGCCGCCTTCGTGAACGCGTGGAAGTGGCTGGCGTCGGGCCGCTCGGGCGGGCTCATCACCCTGGGCGTCGCCGAGGACCTGCTGATCGCGGCCGCGCTTGCGCCGCTCAGCGTGGCGGACATGCGGCTGACCGTCGACCACCTCGCGACGGCGTCCGACGCCTCGGAGGCCGCGGATGCGATCGTCTACCCCCAAGGGCTGTCGGACATGGGCCGCGCCCTTGGGGCTGGGGGCCCGCGGGCCCTCAGCCCGGCCTGCGAGGAGGGCGTCGCGCTGATCTCCGTCTTCTCGGGGATCGACAGGGCGCGCCAGGCCTTCGAGATCCCGGGGCTGTGCGCGTGGCTCGGCGGGCGTACCCCAGCACCGTGCACCTGGGGGGCGGCGCGGCTGCAGATCCTGCGCATCTGGCAGGCCTCTTGAGGGGCCACGACCGCATCGCGAAGGTGATCGTGATCAAGGGGTTCCCCTGCCAGGGCTTCACGGTGGTGAACGTGGCCCGTGAGGGGAGCGTGGACCCGAGGTCGCAGCTGGTGGGCCACATGTGGAGGCTCATCGAGGGGCTGAGGCGTGAGCTGCCCGAGGCCACAGTGGACTTCCTCGGGGAGAGCGCGCCCATGGCGGAGGACGAGGTCCTGGCCTTGAACAAGATGTTCGGCCGAGTGCCGGTGTCCCTCGACGCCGCGGACCTAGGCTGGGTCCGCCGCCCGCTGCTGTACTGGCTGTCGTGGGACCGGCTGCCCTCCTTCGAGATGTCGGCCGAGATGAAGGCGGCGGCGGATGGGGCCCGGCCGCGGGCCTGCCGAGTGCGGCTGGTGACGGAGCTGCCGCCCGTCTCGGATGGCTGCCGCGCGGGGCCTTCTGGCTGGGGGCCGCCAAAGGTGGCCGCTTGCCGACCTTCGCGCGCTGGGCGCTGCGGAGCTCGCCTCGGCCGCAGCCCGCGGGGCTCCGCCAGTGCACGCCGAAGGGGGTGGCGCGCTGGACGGCAGCGAGCTACGCAGCCCCGCCCTACCAGTTTCGGGACTGCTTCTGCCTGCATTGGGCGGATGTGCGGAAGGAGCCGCCGCGGGCAGTGTAGCGCGAGGTGCTGATGGGCTTCAGGCGGGGCCACACCGTGCCCTGCATGAGCAGCTCCTCCGCCAAAAGCGACCCCGAGCGCCTCGAGGCCCTGCGGCGGTTTCTCGTGGGGAACTCGTTCCAGTGCGAGGTCGTGGCCTGGTGGCTGAGCCACTGGGCGGTGCACCACTCGCTGCTGCTGGCAGTGCCGTCCCTGCGGAGCCTCCACGAGAGCTGAGCTCGAGGAGCTGTTCGATGGGCCGCAAGCTCTGGGCCGGCGACGCGGAGACGCTGCGGCGTGGGCGCGAGGCCGTGTGCGAGGAGAACCTGCACCTGGTGAAGGAGGCTGGCCGCGCGCCCGCGGCGGGCGCCGGGCAGGAGGCGCGCGCCGTCTACGTCGGCCGCGGCTCGCGCCGCTGGGGGCTCGGCCCCTCCAAGTGGGGGAGCCCGTGCCCCGTGGTGCCGGGGCGGCCGGCCGGCGACGCCGTGGCGCTGTTCGCAGGTTGGCTGCGCTCCCAGCCCGAACTCCCGGACCAGCTGGGAGAGCTGCGGAAGGGGCTCGGCTGCTCTGCCACTGCCCCTCAGGCGAGCCCTGCCACGCGGACGTCCTGCTGGCGGAGCTGGAGCAGCGCAGCAAGGGGTGCTCCCGGCCCTTCCTGGAGCACCAGAGGGTGGTGGCCTCGGTAATGATGACGTGCCGCCACTCGGGCGCCGACCTTCGAGTGGATGCTGATGCAGGACGTATGGCAATATGTTCCGACGGCATGAGATCAGCGCTGGCATTTGGAAGTGGAAGGTCGCACGCCAGCTCGTTTGGCAAGACCAGGCCAAGCACGTCAATGTGTTAGAGTGCGAGGCGGCCCTGCGTTGGCGGGCCCGGTCAGTCTCACGACAGATGTGCGTCTTCCTTCACCTGCTCGACAGCATGGTGAATATCGGTGATCTTGTCATGCGCCGGTCTTCGAGCCAGCAGCTCAACAAGGTAATGCGCGCCTTTTCCCATCCTTGAGCTGGCGCTCGGATCCAAGCGGTCTTTGCCTTCACGTCATCAGCAAAGAACCCTGCGGATGCGCCATCCCGCTTGCCCAATGGGTAGGCGCGCTTCGCCAGAGGAGAGGCGTGGCACCCGCGCTGCTCTGGGCCGCCTGGCCGACGCGCGTGCGAACGCTGGGGCGCGCAACAAGTGCCAGCGCGCATGCCAGCGGTTTGTCGAGTTTTCGAATGCTATGCATTTCTCTTTGCCAGTCACGTAAGGCGAATCCCTGCCTTCCAGATTATCTTTAGTATCTCTGGAGCATCGGAGCCTTGCAAAACAGGCGAATGACACTCTGTCAGGAGTGCAACATTTTCTGCGCTCGCGCCGCCAATGTCCCGGGGCATGGCGCCTCCTCTCGGTGCGGTCACGCCGCGAGGTGCCGAGCCGAGCGCCTCCGATGCCTGCTCGAGTCGCCGCCGCAATGGCCATCTGGGCGCTCGAGCGCAATGGTGCATTGTCGCTGGGCCCTGCCAGCTTCGGAGCGGCGCGCTTCCAGCCTTTCACGCCGCTTTTCAGCGTGCCGTGCTGTTCAGAGGCGAGATTCAGAGGTTGATCAGTCATTATACGTCTTCCTTTGTCTCTCGTAGCAGAGAAGAATTCGGCTGAATAGCCGGGGTGGGGCGGGTGGAAAGGATCGAGCGGCCTCGACCCCCTCAGATCGCAGCCCAGCGGCCGCTGTGCCGACCATTCTTGGGTCGACCGTCTGGGTCCCTGGCCGAGCGCGATGAGGCGCGGAGAGTGGAGTCGAGGCCCCCTCGGATCCAAGTCAAAGTGCTATGGCCATGTGGAAAAAGGTTGGGGCCTTCTGGAGGCCCCCTGTCCTAAGTGCTTCCGCAACCCCGCCTCCCCCCAACCGCACTTATATAAACGCTTGCGGTAGATAAGTCGGGGGTGGGAGATCAGGGGTGCGGAGTTAGGCATGGCCGTGAAGAGATTGCATGGCAGTCGCTGTTGCCCGCCCGCTGCCACCCTTGGCGACAGTTGTTACCTTGCAAGACCCGCAAGGATCGAGCGGCCTCGACTCCCTCAGATCGCAGCCCGGAACGCCGCTGTGCCGACCATTCTTGGGTCGACCGTCTGGGTCCCTGGCCGAGCGCGATGAGGCGCGGAGAGTGGAGTCGAGGCCCCCTCGGATCCAAGTCAAAGTGCTATGGCCATGTGGAAAAAGGATGGGGCCTTCTGGAGGCCCCCTGTCCTAAGTGCTTCCGCAAACCCGCCTCCCCCCAACCGCACTTATATATATATATATATATATATATATATATATATATATATACATCTATATATATATATATACACACACACGTGCACGAGGCCCGGGCGCCCGGAGCCCGGGGCCCGGGGGGGCATGGGAGGACCGGGGCTTCCCAGACCGCTACCAGAGCACCCCGGAGCGGCCCTGGAGCTCCAGACTGCCGCAGAGAGCTCCCAGAAACCCTGGGGGATTTCGACAAGCCCCTCCAAGACACCCCAGATAGCCTAAACGTGGGCCAAGATGGGTGCGAGACCGCAAATGCACAGCCCAAGATGCCTCCAAGGGGCCTCAAGAGAGCTCCAAGAAGCATCCCGTGGGAGCCCGAAGAGGTCCAAATCATTGATTTTAATTTGTTTGTTCAATGTTTTTCGGTTTCTCGCGTTTTCGACCTTCCGACGCTCCACGACGGCCGACGACACCCCCGTCCCTCCTTCCGTCCCGCCCCCTCCCCGTGCCTCCATTCCCTCATCTCTCTGCCTCTGTGCCTGTGCCTAGACCTTCTGAGGTGCGCGCGGAGGCGCCGAGCCGCGACGAGACTTTGGTTCCAGAGGCTTCGGAGCCGTCCATGGCGAGGGCCACGAGCGGCTCCGAGCTTGATCGATCGGAGCCGCCTTCCTCGGTGTCTAGAGGCCTGAGCAGGACCCTCGGTTCCGAGGTGGAGGACCGCTCGGTCCGAGCTCGTCTGACCCCAGTCGAAAGCGTGGTGGGCCAACCGGCTCGCGTGGCGACGATGGTTCGAGAAATCGAGGCGGTGCGAGCTGCCGCAGGTTTGCCCCCGGGACCCTCGCCGGATCATCATCCATGTCACGTGTACGGACGGATCCCCAGACTGAGGTCAGTTTCAGTGCCACGGGCTCGGCCCTCAGCCAGAGCCGAGCCGTTCCCGACCGCGGGGCCATCTTCGGCCGCGGCTGCTGGACCCGCTCCTGCTTCTTCCAGTCCCTCCCCTCCTGAAAGAACTGAGGCGCACTCGGATCTTCCACCAGAGCTTCGTCAAGCGCTAGACGCGCCGGCTCCTCCCCCTGGTCCCCAGGATTTGGGCAGGTTTGTGACGAGGACCCCAGAGGGTTTCGAGGGGCTCGCGAGCGAGCCGGACGAAGTCCAGGACGAAAGGCTGTTGGAAGAGCTGCACCAGTGGTCCGGCATGAGGGGTGCGCCCAACTATGTGGCGCTGTTTGAGGACCCAGGGGCTTTCTCGGGAGCGGCCACGGTCTCGGGTTCAGGCAAGGTCTCCAATCCCCGTGGGGCCGAAGTTTCGCTGAAAGATCTGACGCCTGAGGAGAGGGCTCAGTTCGTTGACTCCGACCTCGCCGAGTGGGAAGCGATTTTGGCTTCCGGGGCGGTCCGCGTTCTCACTCCTGACGAGGCCCGACTGGCTCGCAGGCGCCATCCGGACAGAGTGCTGTCGTCCAGGATGGTCCGCCGTTTTAAGCCGATGGAAGGGGTCGGGGCCCAGGCGAAGGCTAAGTCGAGATGGTGCGTTCACGGCCATCAGGACCCGGACGGCGAACACCTTTCGGTGTACGCACCGACACCTCAGACGGAAAGCATCCTCGTCACACTGCAGGTCATCGCCTCGATGAACTGGGTTTTACACGTTGCCGATGCGAAAAACGCCTTCTGCCAAAGTAACCGGCTAGAACGTCCCAACGGGGCCATTTATGTTGAACCCTGCGCCGGTCTTAACCTCCCCCCCGGTTCTCTTATCGAGCTGGTTGCTCCTGTGTACGGACTCAACGATGCGCCATTGCTATGGCATCGCACGATTACGGATTTCTTGGTGTCTCTCGGTTTCGAGAAATCATTGTTGGAGCCATGCCTGTGGCTGAAGCGGGCCAGGTTGGGAGGGCTGGAGGCCCTAGTGCTCATAGAAGTAGACGATCTTATAGTTTCTGGGGAGCCGAAAGCTTTGGCTGCTCTGAAGCGTGCCCTCACGGGTCGATTCAAGTTCGGGAAATGGAAAGAGCGTGAGGCTGACTATGCCGGGAGACACATCTCCCAGCTGTCGGATCGGATTGTGGTTGATCAAGAGAAATACATCAGAGAACAGCTGTCCTTAATGTTCCTGGGGAAAGATCGTCGTGCTCAAGTGGACTCCCCGCTCTCGCGAGACGAGATCAGCTCGTATCGCACCGTGGCCGCTCAGGTGCAGTGGCTGGCTCGGGAATCTCGTCCTGACGTGGCAGGCTCTGCGTCTTTGCTGGCGGCAGCGTTGCCCACCCCTTCTGTGGCAGATGCGCTAGCACTGATCAAGGTTGTGAAATTCTTAAAAGCGTCACCGGAGCAGAGGTTGACTATTTGGAACCTTGACCCTGCTTCGGTGACTTTCGTCACGGCCAGCGATGCTGGTGGCCCCGGTAGTGCTCGTAGGGGGGGTGCCCAGGGAGCGTGGCTTATCATGGCCGCGGACTCTATTATAAGAGACAACAGGCGAGCTCGGGTGAGCGTGTTGGCTTGGCGATCCTTGAGGATCAAGCGTGCTGTGGCTTCCACGGTGGCGGCGGAGACTCTGGCCTTGTCAGGGGCCACTGGGGAGGCCCAATGGATCCAAGTCCTTTGGAGGGACGCGGTGTTTGGAGACGTTCCCCGTCCCTCGTGGTTTGAGGGCCAGCGACCATTCACGGTCATGTTGGCTAAGGATTGCTGTCTGGGGGAAGCTGCCTCGGGTCTCTCGGTCGTGGACGCGAAGTCGGTCTTCGATGTGCTCAGTCGTAACTCAGCCGGCTCAAGAGCCGACCGTAGGAACGCTGTTGAACTCGCCGTGATTCGGGACTCGCTCGCCTCGGTCGGTTCGCGAGTTAGGTGGGTCCCCCACGCCCGAATGCCATCGGACCCTCTCACCAAGGTCGATCCTGTCTCGGGCAATCATGCCCTGAAAGATTTGCTCTCGAAGGCTTCGCTCGTGCTAGTAGATGAGCACGGGCACTTAGACGAACGGGCGTTGAACGCCAGCCTGAAGTCGAGATCACGTGGCGCCAGTAAAAAGATGCTGGACGCCGAGGGGTTGAGAGCTCCGGGCCCCGACGGGCCCGTCTGGATCTCTACGGCTAGAGACGAGGGTGTCTCTGCCTCCCTGTTTTACGAGGGCGGAGGGGCCGTCCTCGGGAACTGTGCGGAGTTTTGTAGTTTTGACCGATTAGGGTCTCCTTCGACGACGACGGTGGTGGGGACGACGTCAGCCGTGGCGGCGACGATGGCGTCCCTCGACCCGCAGACCCGCCCTCAGACCTTGGACTCGCCCAAGGTGCGGGACCGGGTGCCGGGCAAGGCCGGGTCGGAGGAAGGAGGAGAAGGAGGAGACGGCTGGAGGAGAACGAGGGACCCTGGGGGTGAGAGCAGGTTTCAGCCCGCGAGAATTTGGCCCGCTGTCCCCCATCTCTAATTTGGGTCCCCCTCGTGTGTCTCTCGGGTCGCTCCCCTCTCCCGCTCCCCTCCGCTTCGGGCTTCACCGTCGCCAGCCTTTTAGGCTTAGTGCACCTGCGTCTCCCTTTCCTCGCGCTGCTATGTAAAACATCCTGTCCTCACCCCAGTCTCTCAGTGCGCCATGCCCGACGAGGGAGGAGGCGGCGCGTTCGGTGCTGTCAGCTGCGCAGGCGCTAGGGCCACGCCAATCGCGATACGGAGGCAGGCGCAGAAAGAAACAGAGCGGCGGCCCGGGTACTGCCCGGGTACTGCATGGCCCGCTCTCTATGACACCGCTCCCAGCGGAACCATTACATTTTGGAGTCGTCGTCGTCGTCGTCGTCGTCGTCGTCGCCGCCGCCTTCGTCGTCGTCGTCGTCGTCGACGTCGTCGTCGTCGTCGTCGTCGTCGTCGTCGCGGTTGTGGTCGTCGTCGTCGTCGTCGCGGTCGATATCGTCGTCGTCGTCGGGTGCGTCGTCGTTGTTAGGATCATCGCTGTGGTCGTCTGGATGTCTCACCTGAACCCTTCCTACCGTGCTCGGAAAGGCAGCCCGACAACAAACGAATTAAACATACGTCGCTCAATTAGGGTCCAGCCGACGAGGCTGGCTCAGGCACCTGCTGCACGGCCTGCTGGGAGTGACTCTGACCAGGCAAGCCAAACAATGAACAGGCTGCTTCCTCTTCCGCATCGCGCGGTCCAAGAGGGAGAGATGTTGGGGCAGCAGCTTCGACGGTACACGACGAGTCGGACGAAGGGTCGACGACTCGATCATGCTGCTGCCCCTGTGGTTGTGCTGACGGTGGAGGGTCGACCTCCAGCTCAACCCCAGCTGGGACTGATATCCCCCAGGAGGAGGAGGAGGACATGGATGAGGTGCTTTTTCGAACGGCCGAAACGGTCCTTCCGGTCCCCTCTACCTCCTACTCCTTCTGGCTCTACCCTCGGCTCGGATTGCGCTGGACGCCTGCCCGACGTTCACTCCTCCTCGTTCTCCTCCTCCTCATCCTCCCTCCTCCTTCCCGGGTGCCCGGGGGATGCCCGGATGCCCCGGTGCCGGGGTGCCTGCAGTGCCCGGGTGCCCGGGTGCCCCGGTGCCCGGGTGCCCGACAGGGGGTCATCCGTGGGGCCCTCTTGGAAGCTTCTTGGGCCGTCTTGGGGCGGTCTCGGGCGCCTCTTGGGCCGTCTTGGACGCGGCGAAAGCACAAGAGGCGAACATGCGAAAAATATACGTTTTCCAATAGGAATGGCACGATTTTTGCTTCTTGGGCCTCTCTTGGGCTGCCTCTCGGAGCGTCTTGGAGGCTTCTGGGACCTTCTTGGTGTCATGACAGGCGTCTTGGAAGGCATCTGGAGCCATCGGAGCGCGTTTCGAAGCCGCCTGCGAACGATCTTGGACGGCGTCCGGCGGTCCGACGAGCCTCCGGGCCCCCCGGAGCCCACATTTGTGGTCGGGGTCCCGGCCCCGGGCCCCCGGACCCGGTGCGCCGTTATATGTATACACAGATATAAACATATCTGATGTAACCATATTATAACCATCGCGCGCTTCGCGAGCGCTCAAGTTCTAGCTAGGCCCGACAGGCTAACGCATGGAATATCACTTGTTGAATCGCCTTGTGCATCTAACGACCTTGTTGGAGTCCCTGCGCAAGCCTCGGAAGCGTATAGAAGGGGAAATGAGGAAACCACAGAATCATCAATTTCCTTTAGGTGTTCGATGATTTGGGACCCTCGAAGGCTTCCTGGGATATTTGTTCGATGGTGACGGGGGCCTTAATGATGGTCTGATGTGCAAAAATAAACGGGGGGTCAATTTAAATTGGCCTGGTGAAGGACCCAACCAGATGCAGTTGTGAGCACCGCTGTTGTAGCCATCGTCTTCGGTGGAGCCCCCTTGTAGGGCCACGAAGCGTTGTACTGTGTGGGGGAGACGCATGCGGACTACGCCACTGGAACATTTGGTGGAGCCCCCTTGTAGGGCCACGAAGCGCTGTACTGTGTGGGGGAGACGCATGCGGACTGCACAATTGAGACCTTCGGTGGAGCTCCCTATGGGGCCACGAAGCGCTGCACTGGTGGGGGAGACGCATGCGGGCTGCGCCTCTGGGACCTTCGTCGGAACTCCCTGTGGGGCCACGACGCGCTGTACTCGGTGGGTGAGACGCATGCGGGCTGCGCAATTGAGACCTTCGGTGGAGCTCTCTATGGGGCCACGAAGCGCTGTACTGGGTGTGGCGGACGCATGCGGGCACCCCCACTGGGGCCTTTGGTGGAGGTCCATAAAACCCTCTCGGGCCGTCCTGTGCGCCTCCGGCGCCGTCTTGGGGCCCTCTTGGGCCGTTTTGGGGCCGTTTTCAAAGCCTCTGGGGCTGTCTTGCAACGGAAAATATGACCTCTGGGGCCGTTGTGGAGCGTCGGAAAATTTAAAAGGCGAGAACATGGAAATCCTTCAAAAACCTTTGGATAAGCAACAAGTTGTGCCTCCCGGGGCTCATTTGGAGGCATCTTGGAAGTTTCTGGGGGCGTCTTGGAGGCCTCTTGGATAGTCAAGGGCTAATTCTGGCCGCCTTGGCCGTCTTGGCCGCCATTGGTCGTTCCCGCGGTCTGGAAGCGCCATGTTTGGCGATCCGCAGGCCGTATCCGGGCGATCTTACGGCGCCCCCGGCGCCCCAGCAGAACCCCCGGAACACCCCAGTCCCCCAATGGGGACACAGGTCACGGACGGAAAACCGTAGGTTTTCGCTCGAAGAGGTTCCCAGGAGGGCTCCAGGGTCCAGCAAAAGGCACCAAGAGGCCCCCAGGAGGCCCAGAAGACGCTCCAAGACAAATTCAAAGAAACGTCCCAAAAAGGTCTAAACGCACTGCAAACTCGCTCTGCGGATGAAGCCGGGAGACGCGGTACCGGCCAGATGTCAGGGGATATGTAGGACTCTCCTTTTTCCCAAATCCTCGATCTTTGAGGGCTGGAATCGGGAAAACGTGAGAAGGCGAAAAACATAGGAAAAACCATTGGAAATCAACGATGTTACCCTCTTTGGGCTCTCTCGGGACGGCTCTCGCAGCTCTCTTGGGTTGTTCTTGGAGCCTCGTCGGGGTCTGTTTGGGGCCTCTCAAGGATCGGGGGTGTGCTGGGGGCCTCTGGGGGGTCCCGGAGGCCTCTCGGAGGTCTCTGGAAGCCTCCTGCTCCCGCTCTTGGGCCCATCTTGGGCCTGTTCTGGGGTGGTCTGGGGCTGTGCTGGGCGCCTCTTCGGGAGTGTTGGAGCCTTCTTGGCCCGTCTTGGGGCCGTCCTGAAGGTATCTTGGGTGGTCTTGGGGCGGTCTTGTGAAGCTCTTCGGCGCTCTTGGACCGTTGAAGCTCGAAAACGCGAGAAGTCAAAAACATTGAAAAGACAATTGAACATATACGACTTTGGCCTCTTCGGGCCGTACCGTGATACCTATCAGACTTCTTGGGGTCTCTTGGATGCCACCTGGGAGCCTCGAGAGACGTCAGAAGGCTGACTTGGGCTGCTCGGGAGCGTCTTGGGCCATCCTTTCGCATTCTGGGGGCTCCTGGGGGGTGTCTTGGGCCCTCCTGGAGCGCTGTGGAGGCTGCCCGGAAAGGCTGGGGGAGCGGTGTCGGGAGCGTCCCCGAGATGTGGCCATATCTTTTCAGCGCGTTCCGGGAGCATCTTCCCGGAACGCGCTCGTGGCAGGGCACCCACGTCCGAGGACGTTGGCATGGGAAACCGCAGCGCGTGATCATTCCAGCGCGTTCCGGCGAAGACCGTCCGGAACGCGCTTGGGCAAGCGCTGGGTTTGGGGAACCGTTCAGGCAGTTTGGGATGATCGGGGCAAGAGGCGGAAGCCATCCTCATAAGACATGCAGTCTGCCTGGAGCCGTCTTGGAGCCCTCTTGGGCTGCCCTGGAGCCTGTTGGAGCCCTCTGCGGAATGGTCTTGGAGCCCGCGCCGAGGATCTGGAAAATGTCCGGGACCATCGCGGCGGCCTCCGAGGCCCGGGACGCCGAAACCCAATTTAAAATCAAGGGGAAATGAGCCCGGGTACTCCCATGGAGTGTCGGGCAGCTGTTTTCGGGCCCCTGGGCTAGAAACATCGCGCGCGCTTCGCGCGCGCTCAGGTTCTAGCCCAGGCCGGGGGGGCGCTGGACGATCTTGGACAACGCTATCAAGCACAGGCGCGCGACGGCATCTGAGGAGCTTCTGGGGTGTTCCGCATGCTTCGTCAACTGGCTGTTGGAGGCACCTCTTGGGTGCTTCATCGGTTCTGCAATCTGAAGCCGTCAGTGGCCGTCTTGGCTGCGTGGAGGCCCGACTTGAGGCCACCTGCGGCCAGATTGAGACAATCCGGAAGCCTCCCGGGGGCCTGCTGGAAGCAGTTTCGGCGCATCGAGGGTTCTCTTGGGCTATTTTAAAACCTCTTGGACGTCTCCTAGGGGCCTTTTAGGCCCTCGGGAAGCTTTTGGGGTCCTCGTCGGACCACTTGGGGGCCTCTTGCGGCCTCCTGTGGGCCTTTTGGGGGGAACGCTCTGCTGTTGGGTCGCGTTCCCCTTCTTGGGCCTCTCTTGGGGCTCTTGGGGCCCTCTCGGGCCGTCTTGGGCGCCTCAAGCACCGTCTTGGGGCCCTCGCGGGCAGTCTTGGGGGTCTCTTGGAGACCTCTTCCTCTATATTGGAGCGGTATTGGAAGCCTCTTGGGCCGTCTTGGAGCATCGGGATGCCAAAAGGCAGAAAAAAACATGAAAACCCGTCAAAGCCCAATCTTAACACGATGAGTTGTGCCTCTTGGGGCCATCTTGGGAGATTTCTTGGAACCTCGTCGGCCCTCTTAGGAATTTCTTGGGGGCCTCTTGGATCCGATTGGGGGCCTCTTGGGACTTCCCGAGAACCTCACGGGGTAGAAAGCTCGGATTCTCGGTTCGTGTTTCCCTTCTTGGGCCTCTCTTGGAGCCGTCTTGGGGCCCTCTCGGGTCGTCTTGGGCGCCTCAGGCACCGCCTTGGGGCCCTCGTGGGCCGCCCAGGGCCCTCTTGGAAGCCTCTTCGGCTATCTTGGAGCTGTCTTGGAGGCCTCTTCCTTCTCCTCGTCCCCCTCCTCCTCCTCCCACTCCAGCTCTCTCTCCTCCTGATCTTCCTCCTCCTCCTGCAGCGTGTTCTGGAAGGCTCTCGCCGGAACATGCTGTGCACAAGTGCTGTCACTGCCCCCGCCACCGTGCCCTGGGTGGTGGGTCAGAGGCCTCATGGGTGTTAGTTTGGATCTCGTGGTTGGCCTGTCGGGGACGTCGTGAAGGCAGTTTCGCAGCTTCTCGGTAGCCGTTTTGGGACCGTTGTGGGGCCTCCTCGGGGCTGTTTTGTGGCCTCTTCAGGCCTCGTTCGGGCCTCCTGGGTGCCTCTTGGAGGCCTCCTGGGGCCTCTTGGGGGCTCCTTAGGTCCTCCTGGGGCACTCTTCAAGCGGGAGGGTCGAATTATGGAGTCGTGGTCCCCCTCTTGGGCGCATCATGGCGCATCTTGGGGTCGTCTTGGGGCTCTGTGGGGCTGTCTTGGGCGACTCTGGGGCCGTCCTGGGGCCCTCTTGGACCGTCTTGGGGCGCTCTTGGGGGCCTATTGAGCCGTCGTGGAACGTCGGACAGCCGAAACAGCTGGAAGGTCGAAATCGTTCGAAAACCTTCGTAAAATTGACGATCTCGGCCTCTTGAAGCGCTCTGGAGAGGCGTCTTGAAGCGTCGTGGAGTGCCTTGGGGGGCCTCTCGGGCCGTCTTGGGCCTTTCTTGGGCGTCCTGGAGCGGTCTTTCGGCGACTCGGGGCCCGCTTGGGCCGTCTTGGGAGCCTTTGGAGGCCCTCCTGGATTTTTTTGGACCTCCCCGGCCGCCCCGTCCTCCCATGGGGGGTCGGAGGCGGCGGCCTCCGAGGCTCAGGACGCCCGAAAATTGACAAAAACCGCCGTCGTGTTTTTTCCAAGACGTCGGAGGTCCAGGTCGTGCTTCCCGCCTCCCCAGACCTCCGACGTCGTAATTTTTGCGACCTCGGGCCCAGGAATCGATTGGGAAAACGCACATGGGAAGGCAAGAAATGATGGACCCATCATTTCGTACCTGTGCCTTGATCAGTGGGACGGGCTTCGGACCGCCGCACATCACAAGACACGCTCGAGCGGATCCAGCCATGGCGACGTCGGGGACTGCAGAAGGTCGCAAGAACACGGAATCTGAAAGGAAGAGAGAGAAAGATAGAGAGAAAGAGAGGCAGAGAGAGACAGACAGACAGAGAGCGAAGGAAAGAGAGAGAGAGAGAGAGATGGAGAGAGAGAGAGAGAAACAACAAAAAAGACATAGAGAGAGAGAGGCAGAGAGAGGCAATGGAGAGGAGGCGAGCTTGAGTGAACGAAAGTCGCAGGGAAGGGGGCAGGGGGAAGAAGGCCAGAGAGCGCTGAAAGATACAAACACTGGAACCCTCTTGGGATTTTTTGGGGGGCCTCGTCCGGCCGCTCGCTGGGAGTTTGACGTAGCTTCTCGGGAGCCTCTGAACCTGTCGGGGGCCTCTTGGAAACAGGTTCGAAGCATTTTGGGGGCCGATTTGGGGCTTCTCGGGGCCTCCTTTGGGCCTCTTGGGGGTCTCCTGGGGCCTCTTGAGGGGCCTCCTTGGGGCCTCCTGGCGGCCTCTTTGGCCGGAAAGGCTCGAGCTTGCGGTTCGTGGTCCCCCTCTGGGCCCCCTCTTGGGCCCGTCTTGGGGCCCTCTTGGGCCATCTTGGGCGCCTCTTGGGCCGTCTTGGGGCCCTCTTGGGCTGTCCTGGGGCCCTCTTGGAAGCTTCTTGGGCCGTCTTGGGGCGGTCTTGGGCGCCTCTTGGGCCGTCTTGGACGCGGTGAAAGCCCAAGAGGCGAACATGCGAAAAATATACGTTTTCCCATAGGAATGGCACGATTTTTGCTTCTTGGGCCTCTCTTGGGCTGCCTCTCGGAGCGTCTTGGAGGCTTCTGGGACCTTCTTGGTGTCATGACAGGCGTCTTGGAAGGCATCTGGAGCCATCGGAGCGCGTTCCGAAGCCGCCTGCGAACGATCTTGGACGGCGTCCGGCGGTCCGACGAGCCTCCGGGCCCCCCCGGGCCCACATTTGTGGTCGAGGTCGATCGAACTCGTCGGGGGCTCTCTTGGGCCGTCTTGGGGCCGTCCTGGGCCACTCGTGCGCAGCCTTGGAGCGCTCCCGGAGGCCTCGTAGACCGTCTTGGGCGCCTCTTGGGCCGTCTTGGACGCGGTGAAAGCCCAAGAGGCGAACATGCGAAAAATATACGTTTTCCCATAGGAATGGCACGATTTTTGCTTCTTGGGCCTCTCTTGGGCTGCCTCTCGGAGCGTCTTGGAGGCTTCTGGGACCTTCTTGGTGTCATGACAGGCGTCTTGGAAGGCATCTGGAGCCATCGGAGCGCGTTCCGAAGCCGCCTGCGAACGATCTTGGACGGCGTCCGGCGGTCCGACGAGCCTCCGGGCCCCCCGGGGCCCACATTTGCGGTCGGGGTCCCGGCCCCGGGCCCCCGGACCCGGTGCGCCGTTATATGTATACTACTACTACTACTACTACTACTACTACTACTACTACTACTACTACTACTACTACTACTACTACTACTACTACTACTACTACTACTACTACTACTACGAGGGCACCGAACGACTCACACCACGAGGAGCCCGAACGACTCACACCAGGACGAGGGGCCCGAACGACTCACACCAGGACGAGGGGCCCGAACAACTCACACCACGAGAAGCCCGAACGACTCACACCAGGACGAAGAGCCCGAACGACTCAAACCACGAAGAGCCCGAACGACTCACACCAGGAAGAAGGGCCCGAACGACTCACACCAGGACGAGAGGCCCGAACGACTCAAACCACGAGGAGCCCGAACGGCTCGCACCAGGACCAGGGGCCCGAACGACTCACACCACGAGGAGCCCGAACGACTCACACCAGGAAGAGGGGCCCGAAGGACTCACACAAGGACGATGGGGCCGAACGACTCACCCCACGAGGGGCCCCAACGACTCCCACCAGTCGTCGTCGTCGTCGTCGTCGTCGTCGTCGTCGCCGCCGCCTTCGTCGTCGTCGTCGTCGACGTCGTCGTCGTCGTCGTCGTCGTCGTCGCGGTTGTGGTCGTCGTCGTCGTCGCGGTCGATATCGTCGTCGTCGTCGGGTGCGTCGTCTGACCCCCCATCCTCTGGACCTTTGTTCTTGGGACCCCGACCCGAGACAGTTTCTCGCCCTGAGCCCACACGATCTTTCAGCAGGCTGAGAAGACGGGTGGTAGGCCACAGCTCGTTTGGACCCCAGCGCACAGGTCGCTGGGTGCGTTGGTTGACTCAGGTGCCTCGGCCGACGAATTGTACCAATTCAAAGGCAATGCTTGGGCTGGCTGGCTTCTTTGCAAGGCTCAGGGCCCAGAATGTGACTGTTGCACAAGTCGCGGTCGATTCGTGGAAAGCTGCGGCGAAAGATTGCAAGCTCACCATCGAGTTCCTGGCCAGGGCTGTCCAGGTCACTCCAGCGCAAAGCCACTCTTACGCGCAGCCAACAGGAATAGAGGGCAAAAAATCCACCCCCAGAATAACCACCCCGACAAGCGAGGCCATTTAGTAAACGCACCCAAAGAAGGAATCGAACACGGCAGGGCTTTTAGTAAACGCCCGGGGCCGTTTAGTAAACGCCAATTGTCCGGTCTGGGTGGTTTTTTCTCCCCTGAAGGCAGGGAGCAAGCCGACGCGGCGGGAGTGCGTGCTGGCCCGGGGCCTGGGTCCCTGGGTCTCAGGCATACCACGTGTGCCCACAGCCTGCTGAGCCAGATCGGCATGCAGGCGCCGCCAGCAGCTCAGCCTGGCAGCCCGACCAGGCAACCGAATGCGAGAACTACCTCTGCAGCTCAGATTCGGCCTTGTAGCGTTGCCAACTTGCGGCACCTGTTTTGGCAGGCATGTTGCGTGACCCCTCTCGGGAGCCCTCGGGGGGAGCCCTCGGGAGCCCAACGGGGCTGATGTGACCCCGTGTTGGCCCCGTGGCCCAACGGGCCTATGTGGCCCCGCGTTGGCCATGACCGCCGAGGCCTACGGTCAGGAACTTCTGCGTAGCGTGTCGCCACGGTGGCCCCAGCGACACGCTATGCCTTGCAAGCGGCAAGCGTGTCGCTCCGCTCCGCGGGGCGGGAGGCTCAGAAAAGCTCGGGACCTTGATGCTTGGGCATGGGGACGTGGATAGCGTGTCGCTCCGAAACGTGGTGGGCCAGAACTGGCGGAACGACACGCTATCGTCGACGCTGAACCGACGCTCATCGTGAAACGACGCCAATCGCTGCTAAACCGGCGCCCTCCCATCGATTACCAGATGCCAGCGCACGGTAATGCACTCTGGAGGTGGCACGCCGAGGGCCGAGGGCATACAAGGCTCCCACGAGTCGCTACCGAACGACACACCTGCCCCATGGTGGGCCTGTTTTCCACCACCACCACCATAAGTTGGAGGGGGGAAGGATGTGGAGGAGGAGGAGGAGGAGGAGGAGGAGGAAGAAGAAGAGGAGGAGGAGGACCCCCTCCTCCTCCTACTCATGGTGGTGGTGGTGGAAAACAAGCCCCCGACCCCAACCTCATCTGGGAGGCCAGAGGCTTCGCAGGTGGCCGCAGCCCGACTCGCCAAGGCGCAGGCGGCACACCCACGCGGCGGCTCCGCGGGGCGGGAGGCTCGGGCAGGCTCGGGACGTCGACCCCGGGGGGCCGCGAAGTGGACAGCGTGTCGCACCGCAGCGCGGTGGGCCAGGACCGGCGGCGCGACACGCGATCCAAAAGTTCCCGGCCACACCTCCGACCTCGGACCCCAGAAAAAATCGGCCAGGAGGGGGGATGAGGCCAGACCCGCTCAAAATCGGTCCCCGGACCCCTCCCGAGGTTTTTGATTGACCCGGGGCCCGAAAGCAGCCCTCGGAGGCGGAAATAAACACAAAAAACCTTCCTGGGGGGGAGGGGGGGTGGACAGGCGTAAAAGGGATGCATCGACCTTAAACGGCCGATACTGGAAGAGGAAAAAACGGCATAAGCATCAACTTTTGGCGCTCCGCGCGGACTTCTTGGATCTGCGCTGGACCCCCCTCCCTGGCGCGCGGAGCGCGTCAGGAGCGGCGCTGGGGGCGCCGCCGGGGGAGCCTGGCGCGGATCCAAGAAATCCGCGCGGAGCGCCAAGAGTCTATGCTGATGCCGTTTGTTCGTCCTCGAGATGCATCGCCCGTGCACCGTCTAGAGTCAAACCGGAACAGTAAGGACGCGCGGTAAGGGTGCAAGGGCCTTGGACGCCCATTTCGAAGCTTTTGAAGCGGGGCGCGGCCAACGAAAGTGTCCGAGGATGGACCGACGAGGCAAGGGCGCAAGGGCACCCTTGGGAAGGTTGCCCACCCTCACTATGGGTTTACCGTATCCCTCGTCGGTGCAGACCGCCCCACGTCTCGTCCATACATCACCGGCGGCGGCGGCGGCAGAGGGCCAACAATGAAACGAGCAGAGGGCTCCCCGTCTACTGGATAGTGCACGGGGCTCCGTGTGGAGAGGGGCCGGCCCCTTCTGGGAAGCCGCCGCCCTCTCGGGAGGCAAGGCCGCTCTGCTCCTCCTCCTCTCCTCCACCCCTCCTCCCTCGAGGAAGCGCAGCTCACTCGTCCAGGGGGTCCGTCGACTCCATGACGTCTCCAGCCATTGGTTGCCCAGGGCACAAAGCCTGGACCGCTTTCCTAAATATACCCTTTGCAACGCACCCCAGGAACCGGTTCCGCAGCTCGGTGATCGGCATCGACTGGTTTGGCTGCGCCCGCCTTGGAGGTGACGTCTTGAACCATTTCAGTGCTGGGTATGGACCAACCATGGGTGCGTTCGCAGTGTCATTGCACCGCTCCAGCGCATGCGGCCTGCCTCTCTCCACGCCCCAGTCGAACCAGTACTTGCTCCACAGACGTCCGCCGTCCTGGTCTTTGAAGCTCGGGTAAGGCACGTAGATGGGGAGACAATAGTGGAGAAAATTGGGGGCTTGATGACCAGGTAGCGCCTGCTGCGGCGAGCGACCTGGTATGAGGAACGAAAGGATCTCCTCGACGTCCGTGTAGCACGCGTCCACGCGCAGGGCTTCAACGGCCTGCCAGTCTTCGAAAGAAGCCACAGCGGACGATAGCATCAGATTTTCCTGAATGAACTGCCGACGACCTCTGTGAGCAGTGACCAAACTCCAACTCCACATATCAATGTAATAACCCTTGGGCGCATACTTGTGCAACCGTGCGTTGATGCTGTTCCAATCTGGCGCAAGCCAGTCCCAGTCATCCCGGTGCGCTATGTAGGGCACCCCAGAGCCATGAAAAGTGCCAAACTCGTAGAGTGTCAGGCCTCTGCAGCCTGTCTCCCCGTCCTTGTCACCGCTACAAACCCAACTCAGGAACTCGTCCTCACTCATATTGTGCCCCTCGAAATTAAAGTGATACAGGGTACTATCCAACTGTGGCCTCAAATTTTCGTACCGCTGGCCCACAACAAAGCCCTTCTGCACTCGAGTCGGCACGGGCCCCGCCCAGTCGCGGGGCGCCGCGGCCGTGTCCAGCTTCGCGGTGAGAGGGCGCAGGAAGACAAAATCTGGGTCCACCAGGGCCAGGACGTCCCTTGACGGCCCTGCCTTGCTGTACCACTGGTAGAACCCGTGCGGCTTGCTCAGCCATATCGACGTCGCGTCATTGAAGGCCTCCACGAAGTACTGCGTGAACCGTGGGGGCCAGGCGAGGGCTCTGTGGCGCTCCTGCAGGTGGTCCCTCATGGACTCGTCACACCCGGAGACTATCGCGGTCAGAGGTCCGGGCTGCCCGGCCGACAGGGCGGAGAAGAACAGCAGCTCGCTCTGCCACAGGTTGAACGGGCGGCAGTCCACGGTGAACACGACGTGGACCTCTTCGGCAGTGCCGGTCTGCTCCAGAGGCCGCGTGTGGAGCGGCGGCTCCGGGCGGCGAGCTTCAGCGGAGGGGGGTGGCGAGGGGGGTGCGGGGGTGGGGCGGAGGAGGGGGGGAGGCTTTCCCGACGACGGCCAGGACGCAGAGCCAGGCTCCTTGACGGGACGCTTCAGGTAGAAGCTCCACTGCGATGCCACTGCTGCGGAATCAAAGAGCTCCAACGGTTCAGGAGTCCACTCATGCGCCACCAGCTGATCAGGCATCTCGGCAAACTTGTAGCACTGCCCCCAGTGGCTCGTGTGTCTCAGAAAACCTGCACACTGCCCATCACCACAGCAATCGACGAAAGGATTTGCCTCCTCACAGGAGCCCGCAGTCGCACTAACGTTCGACCACACGTGGTAGACGATGTCCCAATTGCAGCCTGACGCCAGCGGGTCGGGAACGAATGATTGCATCGGGAACATGGCCTGAGAGGCTATCTCTCCATACTGCTCTGCAGAAAGGGAAGCCACGCCTCTGGAAGAGCCATGGAAAACGCCAAGGCAGTACACGCAGATGCCGCCAACGGCCAGCAGGAGATGCTGGTAACTGCCCCGTGCTCGAGTGGTCATGTCCTGCCGTCTCGAGCAGGAAGCCGTGGTCGGGGGCGAAGGCTATTCCGATACTGGGTCGTGGCAATGCCCCCTTGCAATACTGTCGACACAAGAAGTCGAAGCCGTCAGCAACCTTTTCGGAAGTAGAAGTCGCAAGCAATCTTGTCGATACAAGAAATAAGCAATCTTTTCTTCTGGATACCAAGAAGTCGTAAGCAATCTTATCGACCCAAGAAGTCGTAAGCAATCTTGTGTGCACAAGAAGTAAACAATATTGGATAGCGCCTGGAAGCAAGGCTCCTCGCGAGCCTGAATGCAGCGGAATGCTTGGATCCACCTCCGCCACATGGAGCCCTTCGCTTTTGGGATCGGTCTTGGGAGCCTTAGTGTAAGGGGTGGGGTTACGTCATCGCTCGCTCTTGGGGGCCGCGGCTGTCAGGGATGTTTACGTTGCGGCTCGCTCTTGGGAGCCTTGGTTTGAAGAGCTTATTACGTCACCGTTCACTCTTGGTGGCCTTGCTGTGGAGCTTTTTACTTTACCGATCGCTTTTTCCCTACCTAGGCTCTGCCTAGAAGGGTTCTTACTCTCTTAGCTTAAAAGGGCCGGGCAGTGTAAACCGCCCTGGGCGGTTCCCCCAGCCCCCGCCCCGCGGTTCCCCCAGTTGCGCCCCCTGGGTTCACCCAGCTTAGCTTAGCTTTAGTTTCGCTTTAGCTTAGCTTTAGCTTAGTTTCAGCTTAGCTTTAGCTTAGCTTCAGCTTAGCTCTAGCTTCAGCTTAGCTTTATCTTGGCTTTAGCTTAGCTTTTAGTTTCGCTTTAGCTTAGCTTTAGTATAGTTTTAGCTTAGCTTTAGCTTAGCTTTAGCTTACCTTTAGCTTAGCTTCAGCTTAGCTTTAACTTAGCTTTAGTTTAGCTTCAGCTTCGTCTCAGCTTAGCTCTAGCTTAGCTTGAGCTTAGTCCTAGCTTAGCTTCAGCGTAGCTTCAGCTTAGCTCTAGCTTAGCTTTAGCTTAGCTCTAGCTTAGCTTCAGCTTAGCTTTAGCTTAGCTTTAGCTTAGCTCTAGCTTATCGTTAGCTTAGCTTCAGCTTAGCTATAGCTTAGCTTGAGCTTAGCTCTAGCTTAGCTTTAGCTTAGCTGTAGCTTAGCTTTAGCTTAGCTTTAGCTTAGCTAAGCTTTAGCTTAGCTTTAGCTTAGCTTCAGCTTAGCTTTAGTTTAGCTGTAGCTTAGCGTCAGCTTAGCTTCAGCTTAGCTCTAGCTTAGCTTCAGCTTAGCTTTACCTTGGCTTCAGCTTAGCTTCAGCTTAGCTTCAGCTTAGCTTAGCTAAGCTTTAGCTTAGCTCTAGCTTAGCGTTAGCTTAGTGTCAGCTTAGCTTTAGCTTAATTTTAGCTTAGCTTTAGCTTAGCTTTGGCTTAGCTTGAGCTTAGCTTGAGCTTAGCTTGAGCTTAGCTTTAGCTTTGCTTTAGCTTAGCTCTAGCTTAGCTTTAGCTTAGTTTACCTTAGCTTTAGTCTAGCTTTACTGTCACTACTAATGCTGCTTTCCTGGGGGCTCCAACTCCTAGGTAGGGCAGCACTGAGATAATTTACTCGGCGGCACGGGCATTCATAAACTGCTGGAAAACCACGGTTTTGAATACGGCTCGCGCTGGAAAAAGTCTGGTTTACAATGGCTTTCTTGTATAACAAAATCGGTTGGCTGAACCTGAGCCACAGCCATGGGACAGCAGACGTTGCCGCGCTGAGCTGGGGCGCCTTGGGACAGAAGAAATTGCCGCGCTGAGCTGGGGTGCCTTGGGACAGCAGAAGATGCTGCGCTGAGCTGGGGGGCGCCTCGGGGCAGAAGAATTTGCCGCGCTGAGGCGCGGTGCCTTGGGGCAGCAGAAGCTGCCGCGCTGAGCTGGGGTTGCCTTGGGGCAGCAGACGTTGCCGCGCTGAGCTGGGGCGCCTTGGGGCAGAAGAACTTGCCGCACTTCGCTGGGCGTGCCTTGGGGCAGAAGATGCCGCGCTGAGCTCGGGCGTCTTCGGACAGCAGAAGATGCCGCGCTGAAGTGCGGCGCCTCGGAACATCAGAGGATGCCGCGCTGAGCTGGGGTGCCTTGGGGCAGAAGAAGTTGCCGCGCTGAGCTGGGGTGCCTTGGGGCAGCAGAAGTTGCCGCGTTGAGCTGGGGCTGCCTTGGGGCAGCAGAAATTGTCGCACTGAGCTGGGGCGCCTTGGGGCAGAAGAAGTTGCCGCACTGAGCTGGGCGCCTTGGGCAACAGAGGACGCCGCACTGAGCTGGGGAGTCTTGGGGCAGAAGAAGTTGCCGCGTTAAGTTGGGGTGCCTTGGGGCAGCAAGAAGATGCCGCACTGAGCTGTGGTGCCTCCCATGGGCAGCAGAAGTTGCCGCACTGAGCTGGGGTGCCTTGGGGCAGCAGGAGGTGCCGCACTGAGCTGGGGTGCCTTGGGAAAGAAGAAGCTGACCGCACTGAGCTGGGGTTTCTCTTGGACACCAGAAGATACCGCACTGAGCTGGGTGCCTTGGGACATCAGACGTTGCCGCACTGAGCGGCGTCGCGTATGGGGCAGCAGAAGTTGCCGCACTGAGCTGGGGCGCGCTGGGGCAGAAGAAGTTGCCGCGCCGAGCTGTGGTGCCTTGGGACAACAGAAGCTGCCGTACTGTGCTGCCGCACTGTGCTGAGGTGAATTGGACCAGAAGAGGTTGTTGCACTGAGCTGGGGGTGCCTTGCGACAGCAGAAGTTGCCGCGCTGAACTGAGGTGCCTTGGGGCAGAAGAAGTTGCCGCACTGAGCTGGGGTGCCTTGGAGCAGCAGAAGTTGCCGCATTGAGCTGTGGTGCCTTGGAACAGAAGAGGTTGCCGCACTGAGCCGGGGCTGCCTTGGGGCAGCAGAAGATGCCGCGTTGAGTTGGGGTGCCGTGGGGCAGAAGAAGTTGCCGCACTGAGCTGGTGTGCCTTGGGGCAGCAGCAGAAGATGCCGCATTGCGTTGGGGCGCCTTGGGACAGCAGAAGTTGCCGCGCTGAGCTGGGGTGTCTTGAGACAGCAGAAGTTGCCGCACTGCGCTGAGGTGCCTTGGGGCAACAGAAATTGCCGCACTGAGCTGGGGTGCCTTGGGGCAGAAGAAGCTGCCGCACTGAACTGGGGTGTCTTGAGACAGCAGAAGTTGCCGCACTGAGCTGAGGTGCCTCCCTTGGGCAGCAGAGGGAGCCGCACTGACCTGGGGTGCCTCGGGGCAGCAGAAATTGCCGCACTGAGCTGTGGTGCCTTGGGGCAGGCGAAATTGGCCGCGCCGAGCTGGGGTTTCCTTGGGGCCGCAGAAGTTGCCGCACTGAGCTGGGTGCCTTGGGGCAGCAGACGTTGCCGCGCTGAGCTGCGGTGCGCTGGGGCAGCAGAAGGTGCCGCACTGAACTGGGGCGCATTGGGCCAGAAGAGGTTGCCGCACTGAGCTGGGATGCCCTGGGGCAGCAGAAGCTGCCGTACTGAGCTGGGGTGCCCTGGGCCAGAAGAAGTTATTGCACTGGGCTGGGGGCGCCTTGGGACAGCAGAGGATGCCGCGTTGAGCTGGTGCCTTGGGACACAAGAAATTGCTGCACTGAGCCTGGGTGCCTTGGAGCATCAGAAGTTGCCGCATTGAGCTGGGGTGCCTTGGGGCAGCAGAAGTTGCCGCACTGAGCTGAGGCCGCCTTGATGCAGCAGGAGTTGCCGCATTGAAATGGGGTGCCTGGGGGCAGCAGAAGTTGCCGTGCTGAGCTGGCGTGCGCTGGGGCAGCAGCTGAAGTTGTCGCATTGAGTTGGGGCGCCTTGGGACAGCAGAAGTTGCCGCGCTGAGCTGGGGGGTCTTGGGACAGCAGAAGTTGCCGCACTGAGCTGGGGTGCCTTGGGGCAGAAGAAATTGCCGCTCCACATTGAGCTGGGGTGCCTTGGAGCAGCAGAAGTTGCCGCGCTGAGCCGGGGCGCCTTGGGGCAGCAGAAGTTACCGCGCTGAGCTGGGGTTCCTTGTGGCAGCAGGCGTTGCCGCGCTGAACGCCTTGGGGCAGTGCACGTTGCCGCCGTGAGCTGGGGTGCCTTGGGGCAACCGAAGGTGCCGCGCTGAGCTGGGTTGCATTGGGGCAGAAGAAGCTGCCGCGCTGAGCTGGCGTGCCTTGGGGCAGCAGAAGATGCCGCACTGAGCTGGGGCGCCTTGGGACAGAAGAAGTTCCCGCGCTGAGCTGGGGCGCCTTGGGGCAGCAGAAGTTGCCGCATTGCGTTGGTGTGCCTTGGGGCAGCAGGAGTTGCCGCATTGAGTTGTGCCTTTGGGCAGCAAAAGTTTCCTAACTGCGCTGCGGTACAAGCGAACGACGGCATGCACCGATGGAAGTCCTAACTTCAGCGCGCTGGTTGGTCGAGCGTGGACGCCCGAGTCGCGCTGCCCGAGGGAATTAACTCGGGCGCTTTGGCGGCGGATCGAGGAGCACAGCGCTCGTTCAACTTGACCGACTGAAGACCGCTTGGCCCGTTCGACGACAGAGGCGTAGTCAACCCAATGCGCGACGAAAGAAGCGTAATCAACTTCGGTAGTCAACTTCGGTCGCGTAGTCAGCTTCGGCAGTCAACAAGTGTAGCCAAGAGGCGCCGCCAAGAGACGTAGTCAAGAGACGTAGTCAACTCGGGCAGCCGCCAGAAGACGTAGTCAAGAGACGTAGTCAACTCGGGCAGCCGCGAGCGGGGGCGAGACGAGGACGTAGTCAAGAGACGGAGCCGCGATCGGAGGCGAGACGGGGACGTAGTCAACTCGGGCAGCGAGCGCGAGGACCTCAAGCAACATGGCGAATATGCTTCGCAAGCTCGAAGTAGCTCGCTGAGGCTGCGCCTACAGGGCAACTCGGATTCGCATGCCAGCGCCATTCGATTTGGCCACATTGGGGTGCAGTGCCGTGGGGGCCATTCGTCACATTGGGCTGGATGTTGCCCCATGCGTATCAATTTGACTCCACGTGTGCCGATTAACCGTCAGCGCCAATAAGGATCAGCGTCGAAGAATCAATTCAGCCAGTGTCAGTGTCGCCGTCAATACTGACAAAAAATACACTGCGCGATATCCTGGCACGCGCAAGCGGGCGAATAATCAATTCAGCCAGGTTGGATTTAACCGATTCCCCGCCCGGTCGCGCACGATAAGGTCGAGGAATTCGCATTGCTAACCAGCACTCGAGCGCCACATGTTTATTACACAATGCGAATTCTTCGGCAGCGCGCAGCCCAGCCTCAGGGAACCTCACGTTGCCACACGACGCACCCAGCCAGGCAGGAATCGTACTTTACTAATTTGGAATCCTTCTGA